AAAAAAAAAAAAAAAAAAAAAAAAAAAAAAAAGTTATTTTTACACAAACAATTAGGTGTTTATTTGTTGTGTATTATGTGTATAATATAAGTAAATTAGGTTTAGTGCGAATATTAAAAACAATGTATATTGATATACTTTCAATAAAGAATTATTGCATACTTGTATGCGCAGATAATTACATTTTGTGATACGTTAAAAAATTAAAAGTAAAACAGGCAACATGTTTTCATTAAAGAATATCCCGATCAAAATAATTAAACGTAATTATTCTTTTATCTTATCATTATAAGATTTTAACAATTAAAATAGGAAATGTTTAATAATTTAATATGAAATATGAAACAAGTATTAAAGATAAGATAATCAAAGGGTCTTTTTACTTTTGTTAAGGCAATGTTTTTGAATCGGACATATTTGTTTTCCACTTTCGACATAAATTATTAACAAAAAGATCTTTTTTTTTTCCAAAGATAAGACAAAAATTAGTTAATTAGATAAGATAAAAAAAATTATTATTTTTTATTTTAAGCAATTTTCTTTATTCTTTCTATCTCGCCTTTTTCAAATAAGGAAAGATTTTCACATTACTTTGGGGGGCATTTCATTGGGTTTGTTGAGTTGCACAATATTCATTTACGTATGCTGATAAGAGGATATTGCATAATGTGATATAAAATTTCTCCACAAAATAATAAGTAATATGGGCTCCGAAAAATTCCGTGAACAGAATTAAAACTGTTCAAGTTGTAACTATATATTATCAAAAACGTGTAAAAGATAACGATAAACTCGTGATTCTGCATGTTCTATAATTATTCTTATATAAGATAAACCAAAATTTTTTTTCTCTCCCCATTTTTCCTATTATCATTTAATCGTTAAAAGAATCAGTTTCGAAAAGCGCGAAACTAGGCTTAATTTGTGAACTTAATAAGGATCGTTACAAAAAAAAAGCCGAAATTGATATGTTATAAAACAAAATCAAGTATTCATGTTTGATAAAATGTAAATTTTTGGTGATAATAATAAAGATAAAGTGGCTGTGGCTGATAAAAATTTTTTTTTTCCTGCAAATATCCAAATTTTACCTATCAATAAATAAGTGATCATCTTTGACTTTTTAGTATAAAATAATAAAATGCATAGATTATGCGAAACTTCTTTTCTTATCTGTATGAGTAAATTGATAATTTATGGTAAGATTAATTCTTATATAAGTAATTAATTATTTTGTTTATAAAACATGTGTTCAGTTTTATTGCATATTATAAACATTCTTTGTATCGAATTTTTTTTCTTGACAATTTCGAGAATTTGTTATCATAAAATTCTTTAAAATTGAAAAATCTCCAAATAATTTAATTTTTTAATAATAAATAAAAGGGTTAAAATATTCAATCTGTAAACCATCACTTCAATTGCTGCAGGTACGGAGCAGATTTAATCACGCGTGGCGCAGCTGGATCGCAAATTTTTTTGCTTCTTCACACGATCACGCACGACGGCACGAGGACCGGTTTTAACCTGTAAATAAATATAATTGGATGGTAATAATTATGTTATTTCAAATTTATATGTGATAATTTTGATTAGTTAACAATTTAATAAAAAAAACCTTTTTTTTTTTTTTACAAATTTAAAGGAAAAATGAATTTTAACCTTTAGATAGCACAAAATAAGGTTTATTTATAGTAATAAATAGATATAGATGTTTTTTATTTATTTTTAATAAATTTTTATAATTATACTTTTATCATATGAAATAAAATAAATAAATATCCGTTTGATAATCCTTAAGAAATTGATTGCCAAAAATGAAATATCATGACCAAAACCGTTTAATTATAATTAAAATAAATTTACTAAAATTTATAAGTCCAAAATTTAGTCAAAGTTCAAAAATTATTTAATTATCAAATGAAATATCATGAGTTTATGACCAAAAGTGTTTAATTATAATTAAAATAAATTTACTAAATATATATATTTTTTTTCAATTTATTTTAATAACCAAAATGAAATATCTTGTCCAAAAGCGTTTAATTATAATTAAAATAAATTTACTAAAATTTATAAGTCCAAAATTTAGTCAAAGTCAAAAATTAATAAAAGAATTTTGATCACCGGTGACTGAAATTATGATGATCGACCAGCATTAAAAAAATATTGTGCCGGTAAAAATTGATAATTCTGGCCAACGGTGATGATCACCTCCTGTGATTTGAAGTTATATATAAATTTATTTTAACAATTATATAGTATATACAGTATATATTTGCAATTTTATTAATTGAATTTTGCTAACTTGCCTTCTGGATTAAATAACCTGGGTTAAATCACCCCTCCTAAAATTTATATTTTATATCAATATTTTTTTTTTTAAAAAAAAAAAAATTTGTATTTATATTATTCATTTCACTTTATATAGATTTTATTTATTTGGATATTATAAAGTATAATGACCAATTTTTCTTATATTTTTGACAATGTCTCATTTTTTATTGTAATCATAATTTACTTTGAAAATTTGGGACAATTATTATTATTTTCTGATTTATTATTATTATTAAAAAAAAAAGAAGGATAAATAAAAATTTTAATATATAATGTATAATAAATATATTATTAAAAAGAAAAGAAATAAGTAAATATAAAGTAATAAATCATTTTAATTTGTAACTATATACTTAATAAATAAAAGCTAAAGTTAAAAAAAAAATTACTTTTCCATAATATAACTTAAGGTTGCTTGTCTAAACCTCTTCAAAATCCTATGATTAGTTTCGTCAAAATTTTACTATAGATTTATTATAGTTTTGGCAGAGTTTTGGCAGTTTCGGCATTTATAATAAGTTTTGGCAGTTTCGCCTTTCTCCAAAGTTTCGCCAGTTTTTTAATATAACTTTAATATAGTTTTGGCAGAATTTCGCTTTTCGGCGAAACGCCATCTTGCTTAAACCCCTAGGTTTCGGCAAGCAACCTTAATATAACTAATAGTTCACTAATACTAATACAAATAAAAATAATTATTTTCAAATAAAAAATTATTTTATATTATATTTTAATAATTATTAAAATTATAAAAATAAAATTATTATTATTTAATTTTTTTTATTAAGAATAAAATAAAGAAAATTTCTAAGTTTACACGGGGTGTTTGTACACAGGTCATATAAATATAATTTTTAATAGACTAATTTTTTGTTTTTTAATTTGAAATTGAGTGCTACCGACATTATACTCTTTTACTTTTTATTCTTATTATATTACAAATAAATATATGTATTTTCACCTGCTCTGCAAGTTTACTTAAGGCATTAAAGGAGGTTTTGAATGCCGTTTTTAATCTACTAATATGATCCGTGTTTAAACACCCTGTGTACAAATAGAAATTGCCTAAAATAAATTTTATTGAATTTAAATTATTAATTAGTTTTTAAAAAATAAAAGAATAAAAATTAAGATTTTGAAAAATACTTTTAAAATAAGCAATTTTTTAAAATTTATATAGTTAATAAGTAATTTTATATATAACTTATACATAAATTATATGATTTGTTTAAATAAAATAAAAATAAATGACAAACAAGAACTAAAAAATATGAAACTTGAGAATAGACTCGTAAAAATAGAACAGAGCTTTTAGTGGATAAACAACCATGAGACTAGTCTAATATACCAGCAGTTTTGCAGAGAATGAACAAAGTTTCTAATAATAAATGTTTGCTTCGCTTTCTTGATCAAAAAATATAAGAAAGATATTAGTAAAAAGATAAGACAAAGAAATAAAAAGAAGAAACTTCAATGTAAATCAGCTAATCAGAATAGCATCTTTGATACTGCTTATATATCAGAACTTGTTAATATCCTTACTACAATGGATTCAAAAGTATCACATAATATAAAATTTATTAATAGGATTTCTGAAAATTTTGAATTATCACATGATAAAAACCTATTACTGTAAATAACAAGTTTTCTGAATTTTTAAAATCATCATATAAGAGAGAAACTATTGCCAATACTCTGACCATTTTTATTCAGAGATAGAGACAAATGTAAAGACCACTCTACCAGCTATAAATAATGCAAACAAATAAACTTTATCTACCGAATTTATATAAAATTTGTTGCAGGAATTATTGTCACCAGACAGTCAACTTCAGGATATAAAGTTTTTTTCTTTCAAAACTCTAATATCAGGATCATTAAGCATCAAAAAACTTGCCAATTTCTTTGCTAAATAAATAATATAAGAAATAAATTAATCATAGCAAAGTGATTAGAGATTATATTATAGTGTTTATTCTCTGAAAGATTTGAAGATAAAGTTGTGAAACTTAGGTCTATTGATAAGAAACTTATAGATCAGACTGCAAGAAAGCAAATTTATAATGAAATGAATTGAAGCCTTACTTTACAGGTATTTTAGATAGATATTTATATATAATGATCTGTAGAACATGAAAAATTAATAAATTATTTGAATATAAATATGATTCCATAACTTTGAAAGAGATAAAAAGTATAGGCAGTACAGTCAACTCCCTCTATAGTCACTCCCGTTATAGTCACATTCTACTATATAGTCACACCAGTTGAATGTTCAAAACACTTTATTATTAAAAACTATCCTATATAGTCACAATCTATCTATAGTCACTATCCCACCTATCCTCAAAAATCTTATATTAAAAAGAACCGTTTA